CCCACACACACACACACACACACACACACACACACACACACACACACACACACACACACACACACACACACACACACACACACACACACACACACACACACACAAGCACTGACAGTGTGTGAGAGAGAGAGGAGGGTACAGCAGGAAGAAAGCAAGGAGGGAGCGTGGAGTGCGAGAGGGAGGGACGTAAAAAAAAAGGAAATAAAAAAAAAAGATCCTGAACAGAAGGATTTTCTCTTTTCTCCCGAGGAGCTGCCAATAACCCTCGGTGAAGGATGGCAGAAGGGGGAGAGGGAGAGGAGGAGATCCAGTTCCTGCGCACGGTGAGTCCCGCTCACTTTCCTGTTTGGGAAACACACTGCACTGGAGGAGAGGAGTTTAAAGACATGTTTGATTTGTACTCTTGATTGAACCCTCGATGTGAAACTGACACCTGATCTTCCAGCATCATTTCCTTCAGTCTCTTCACTTGTGCTTTCCTGGCATGGGATATTTCAGTAAAATGTGTAGTTGCAGTTCTCCGAGCCAAGCCTCTATATAGTTGACTATTTTCGCAGTGCCCTGAATGTACCACGACCCGCTTATAAGTCCTCTTTCTCATTGATCATTATAATCTCATGCGAGCGCTGGAATCTTAAAATCATATTATGATCTTTACAGCACTGATCCCCTAAGCACCTTATTATTATGTCAGAGTATTCTGGGCTCAAGCGTAGGTGTGTGTGCGTGCGTGTGTGCGTGCGCGCGTGTGTGTTTGTGTGTGCGCGCGTGTGTCTTTGTGTGCGCGCGTGCGTGTGCATGTGTGTGTGTGAGCCCAGATAGATAGACAGGGGCCGGTGCATCTGTTAGCATCGTTAGCTATTTTTATCTGAGGAAAGTAGAGCTGCGGAGCGGGGTGAGGAGGCAGCAACAAGCTGCAGGGGACAGCTGCTCTCTGTGGGGCAGCCAGCACACACTCAGTGGAGGGGTGTCCACTTCACTGGGGCCAACTCAGTGGGACCCCCC